AACGCACACGCTATAAACAAAAAATTTACTAGCACAAAGTAGTTTAAACGAGATTATGAATAGTACACTTATGGTTTAGCTTGACACTACAGGAACACTATTATGGTCAATCTGGAGAACAGACCGTGGCTAAAATCTGCTATCAACAAAAGAACCACTTGAATATAATAAAAAAGGATAGAGGGTCATGATACACCATTTAGTCATTTCGGGATTAAAAAAGTAAATTAATACAGAGGCTTTAACGTTTACTTCTTGGTATAAATGCAATGAGTGGATTTGCATATTCCAGTTAGTACATGAAATGACATGTTAATACAATCCAAATAACCAAAGTCAGGGATTTTCAACAAGATGTGGCTCAATTTTTAAGTTCCGGAGACCATTATATAAGACAACGAATTGGATGGGGTTGAAAAATGAAGACAGATATACCTCTACAATAATCAACTTCTAGATAGCCTAATTTCCGAAATAGAAGGAAATAAAGAATGTGAAACTAGGATAAAGCATCTGTATAATAGTCAATAATGTTTCTTGATCTCCAGAAAAATTTTGGTCCAAAAAGAAATCCATTTTCAGATCAATAAATCAAATATAACAAAAACCTTTGAATTTACAGACAAAATGGATATTTACTTCATGAGTAGATTTCATTGAGGTAATCAATTTGTCAGTTCGTAATTTTTCGTTACCAAGTTCTAAAATCAAATGTCGAGCTGAATTTAATCGATCTGTTAACTTTGTATAAGATTCTTCACTTGGAACTTGATTGTGTAGACTACTGAATTCTTTCAGAGGAGTCCTAACAATACGATCTTCATGACCAGTCGAAGTACTGAAAGATGGAGATAAGCTGGAGACGGTGGTTGGAGTCTTTAGATTACACTGAAGTGATTGATTCCATAAGTTCTATCAGAGGTTACCATGAAAAGAGAAGTAATGTTAGACTTGGGTGAATAAATAACAACAATGAGCTTATCCTTAATAAAAGATAGCAAAATGTACAAAGCTGAAACATATTCTAACTCAACGAGTGACCGTTACAGTATCGATATTGATCCACAGATACATAAAGTGGCATTTATTTTTCACTAAATATTGGCTGTATAGAGATTTTTAGTACATTTAACTGTTAACAATCATTTTTAATACACTACTGAAAGATCTTTTGATAAGTCTATGTACTAAATCCCGCTACTAAATAATCATATACTACATTAATAATGGTCTAATCAAATGGTACTAGACAGTCTGATGAGTAAACTTTGATATAATTTAAAAGACAGCCAGATCTGAAGATGTTTAAGCTCTTATTCCAAGAGTTTCTCTTTCATTCATATGTTCTTATGCTCCTTTCCAAAAGTATCATATACAAACTTATCATTTAGGTCGGTAGCTGGATCTTCAATTTCGACGAAACATTCGTGATCCACTGTATTTGTAGGTTTTAAGACACAGCCTACCAATAATAATTAGTACTGAAGCCTTATTGCCCCAGGTTGAAGTGGAAAATCGTCTGAGTCCCATCTAATTTGACAAATTTCCTTAATGTTTTAGTATTATGTAATATATTTCGACAAATAGAAAGTAGGTATATGAACCGACTTGCCATAAATTAAAAAACGATTGGATTAGAAGACTCAATTAAGAGCTCAACTACACAAAACTAAGAATGACTGTGTAAAGCAACTGTAACTAAAATGTAAACGGTAAAAACCACTATTAGTTCTACAAATTCTATAGATTCATACTAGAAAAAGGTTGATTTAAGAACTAGGTATATGAGTTCATTCGGCAGGAACCTTACTCAACCAAGGTTTCTTTCTAAATTTAGATTTATGAAGATGTGTTCACAGTTGAATTACCTGTTCAGAAGTATGTAGATCGTTAGGTTTTAGGTCTTTAACATCAATGCTCATATGGCTCTTATTTACAGTTTCTAATGTGGCACGTAAATCATCAGCTTCTGATCGAAACATTTGAATTTCTCGTCTGTAACGTTTATTATTATGTTGACTGAATGCAAGTTCCGCCTGAAGTCTAGCTATAGAACTAGAAAACATGGAAACAAGGTAAAATTATGCCTACTGAACCATCATATACATAGCAATTAACTACAGAAAATGAATCATAAGTATGTAGTGATCGCAAACACATTAAAGTATTCCTGTCTGATAATAACGGGTGCGTTATAGAACGAGATAAACAATGTCTAAAACGTTACACTATTAAAAATTAGCCACTAAATGCACCGATACGAGTAAGAATCTATAAAGAAATTATCTAATTTGGTTTGTATACTCGGACAGTATCGAAGCGTTTACAGAAAGATATAAGAATTTAGATGTAGAATAAGAGTAGCCTACTTTACAAATACTCGCTTACAAACAAGTATATTACTATGACCAAGCTTATTTCGTAGCCATTTAAGTATATTTCCCTGTATTTCCACAAGGTGATTTCCTCATCGTGCTCTTAATCTTTGTGGCGCGCAGCAAACTGCTTTCGTTGATTTACAAAACATACTGAAATGTTATATCTAATCACTAGATACTTTAAATCTTGCCTAAGAACTCTGTAAAAGATAGCTAAAATTATGGCGAAATTGGACAACTACGAGGGCGAATAGACAGCAGAACATTTTGGAACATACATACAAACTCCTGACTATTCACTACCCAAGGCCTACTCTCAAATCCCTAAAATCAGATGATACGATTTGGGTTAAAGACTTTTTTACTAGACGGGTGAGTTTTAGATTCAATCGTGAATATATTAATTCAATGTTTACTCTGATATGTTTTGAAATATAACCATACTGTTAGCGGGACATAGACTGGATTAAAGCATGCTCAATGCACGATTGCTTTGGTGCACGCTGATTGGCTAATTCTTATCCAATCAGCACTAGTCGATACCTGGAGAATACCCTAGAATCTTCTCAAGTAAAAACTATAAATATAATAACGTTTTCTCTATTGTGCTTCTTGCTTCCATCTAACCTTGTTATTTGGAATATAATCTATTTCCTGTTCAACTGTGTTCTGATTTGGGGACTTGTCGAGTGATTTGGTGTCCAAGAATACTAAGCAATAGGAATAGCTGGGTCATAACCGTAAGAAAGAGGTTATAACACATACTTACATTCAGTTTATCACTGCTGTGCACTATGACTAAGCAAATTACAAATGCAAACACTGTGCATGAATAAGCATCCTGATGACAATAAAAACGTATAAATTTCGACTGGCGTTAAATACCATGGACTAAGATCAAAATTCAAGGATGATTTGGACCGTTAAACTACTTCAAAATAAACGACAGAAGTATTTGTTATAAGAAATAAGAAACTGGACTAGTTTTATTTTTTACCTTTCCCAACCTTAGACCCAATAATCAAATAGTCATCACTGTTATAAAGATAGAAAAGAGTATGAACTAGTGACAAAATTTTTGATGACGGATCGCTTATACGATTAAGACATTCAGCAAGGCAACTGAAGGAGCAACTTAAAAATCTATTTTATATAGATCCTTGCTCTACTATGGATAATTTGGAACTATGATAGCTAAAATTTCTACGAACGAAGTATAGGAATCCTAAAATCCGCAGTGCTCAATTTGACAAAGGATTTATCGATTGACACTTTTTAATCAATCATGAAGCCTCTTCGTATGCCAGCAGGCACATCATGCATTATTAACGTAGTCAGTTATTATATACCCGCTAGTGAAAAATAACCCAATTAGTTAAACATTTGGTAACTAACTCCGAAATTTCATCGCATACGAGCAATGCTTTCGATGACATTATAGATCAAATATTCATTGACCCTTTATTTTCCATGTTAAATGTTGGAGGTTATTTAACTCAGAAATCAAGTAAAGATTGATGTAATGACTTGAGTCACACTTATTACAAGAAAGTCAGTGAGATTATCCGATCGTCCAGACAGAAACAGGTGTGATGAGGTTTGTACAAATGACATCAGATTGATGAAAGCCGAGCGGTAAAGAACCAGTCCGTCATATTTGTATTAGCTGACCCACATTCGCATAGCAACCGTTGATAAGAGTTTTGATATACATTCTAGATCAGAAATGACAGGATATATTCTCAGAATTATACTGCGATAACGTTTGTCATGAGTCCCGAAAGCTGGATGTCCTCTGATCTTAACATAACCAACCAAAACGATAGACGTTAATTTTGGTGAACCATGTTAATGAAATGCCAGTGTGATCAGCAAACATGTTATATAAACCAAAGATGTTAACAACTATTGTTCTAGAGAATGATTTGAGATGTGGGTTACTAGCTAAGAATCTAATGATGGCAAAGTTGATAATTGAAAAGCCTATATGACGAACAGTACATAAACATCTAACTCTGACACAACACCGTGCAACCATGAGAACTCATAAGAAATATTATCAAATACATATGCTAAACTGAGATAACTAGACTTGACAACTGTGCATTTTTGAAAACCTCACCTCTGAAATTCATTTTTACACTTTGCGAATTCCGTATCCTTGGCTAATATAGACATCTCCAAAGCACGAACTTTTTCTTGGGCACATTGGAATTCAGTATGTAGAATATCATATTTCTTTCGCCAGTCTATCATTAAATGATTTATTGAAGGATAGAACAAACCATTTTCAATATTGTCGCTTTTTTGTTTTAAAACATTTATTTGCTCACGAAGTTGGTCATTCATTTTCCTAGGATAAATTATACAAAAATTAAACAGGCGACTCACGATGAGAAATTTAATAGTGTATCTTTTTCACTAAGCGCTTCCTTCAGAAGAATGTTTTCCGACTCAGCAGCAAATATTCTCTGTTTATTTCTTAGATAATTTGCTTGTACAGAATTTACCGATGACTCCAGATCCTGTGGTACATTAGCTTGACGATAAGTTTTTTCATAATTATACAATAACAATCTAAGTCGAAAATTTTCACGTCTCATATCGCCCAAGGCCTACAAAAACTAGTCAAAATAAAACTCACTAATTACCTCTTCAAGACTTGAAGCTCGTCCCATAACATTCGAATCTAGAAATAGTTAACTGCAAGATTCTACATACTATTAGGGCCATGAAAGTGTTCAAATTGAAATGTACTGCCTTTGTTTGGTTTCCCAGCCATATGGTCACTGAAATCAATATTTCTTAAACCAAATACAGTAATTCTAACCTCATATCAGAATTCATCAGATCCACCTAATGTTAGTGAACTGAAAACAAATGGGATATCAGAACTATTAATTACAGTCAGTAAATTATAAGTAACAATTAACTCTAAAATTATCTACCATATGAGCACAGAAACCTCGAGTCGCAGAAGTGGAAAACTACAGAATATGGAAAAAAATGAATTGGACGAAGAATGAGAAAATTTCCAGGACTGGAAAGAATATGAACACGTTTGTCACTGTAACCAATTATAATTTAAATGATCCAGAGTTTCTAACTACTGACATAATAACTAGGGAAAGGGGTGTCGTATTCTTAGCTATTTATTCTGAGTTTACAAGTACACATACCATAAAGTACTTTCGCACAACAGTACTGTAGAGCCTTCTACAAGACTGGTAGGATTCTAATCCTATACTCACTCTGGATAGTGAGCAGATAGAAGTAGTCGAGAAGTTCGTGTATTTGGGTAGCTGCATAAGTGCTGGTGGGGGTGTGAGTGATGAGATCAATGCACGAATAGTGAAAGCCAGAGCGGCTTATGACAATCTGGGCCACCTTTGGCGCCTTCGTGATGTTAGTCTGGCTGTAAAAGGTCGGATCTACAACGCGTCGGTGAGAGCAGTTTTGCTCTATGCTTGTGAAACCTGGTCTCTCCGAGTTGAGGACGTTAGACGACTCTGTGTTCGATCATCGCTGTCTCCGAAGGATTGCTGACATTCAGTGGCAACACCATGTCAGTAATGCAGAGGTTCGGCATCGTGTGTTCGAGCACAGAGATGATAATTCAATTAGTGTTACCATCTTGAAACACCGACTTCAGGGGCTTGGACATGTTCTACGAATGTCGTCCCAGAGAATTCCACGTCGTGCATTATTTGCCGACTCTGGGACTGGTTGGAAAAAGCGGAGAGGTGGTCAGTGCATGACATGGTGTCGTGGCATGAAAGAGAGCTGCAAAGGACTGGCTTGTGTTGGTCCTTCACGACTCCCTGGCTGGAGTCCGAGAGATGGTACAACACAGTGGCTAGAGACGTTATCAGATATGGCTCAGAATAGAAGCCAGTGGCGATCCTGCTGTAACCTTCTTTTACTGTCTTCATAAAAAATGGTTGTTTCTTCCTTAAATGAAAGATTTCTTGTGATTGTACCTTTTCGTTTCCCCCATTATTATTATTACGCTACCTTACCTTATTCTGTTCGTTATTGTTCTTTTTTTACGCTCCTCACCTTTTTTCCTTCTCTTCTTCAAATTCCCATTGTTTTTTATGACGCGTATATATTTGGTGCCCTCTTGTACCAATATTTGTGTTCAAATAAATAAATAAATAACTGTAGAGCCTGTGTCAACACTACAGGGAAACACTGTAAACCTAAAGGTCGATGGAGTGAATTATAGTAAAAATGTACGAGAATGGACAAGCTTGGAGGGAGTAATTATTGTCCGTAACCCTAATACGATTATATTTGAATACCATCTCACGAAACAAAATATACTTGCTACGCTCTTAGCAAGCTCTGGAATTGTCGGAGTAAAGTAATTTTTTCAAGTTCTAAAAATTATTTAGTGCGTAGCATCAATATGTATGCCCATAAACTGGGACATAAAAAAGTGATGACTTAATCAATAAACCTTCACCCTGTGTTTCAGGTATGAACTTTGCAAGAATATTTGGAAAAAGTTATTCACGTATATATATATATATATATATATATATATGGTGCCCTCTTGCACCAATATTTATGTGCTTAAATAAAATAAATGAATAATTTACATACACAACCCCATATGTTGGTCTTCCGTCTGATTTGATAAATTAATCTGGTTACGAAGTGTCCTCCGGAAACGCTAGCTATGTCGAGCAGCCGAACCGATTACGTGCTATCTCAAGCCGACACAGTAAGAAGCAGGCGTAAGTGGGTTCTTAAGACTGGACAACTGGCCTATCTATAAAATACATTTGTCCACTCTACGATAAACCGCTCATCCATTTACAGGTATGGGTCGCTAAAAGGTTTTTTGGTAATGGTAATTTCCGGACAATCCTGGACGTTATTGCATTATTGACTGGAGAAGCAGTATCGATAGTGAATGAATCAGACCACGAAACAAAGCAATCATCGTGACATTAATCGTAAGTTTATAAGAAGTGTTCAGACATTTACTGAAGACGGTATTCAGCAATACAAGCACCAAAATGGAAATTTACTAATAAACCCTTAGAAACTTTTGATTCTATTTGGCATATCCACCTTATTTTTTGAAGTTAAGCATTCAAAACAAGGGGAATCTGCACAAATAATTGTTTTAAGAATAACCTCATCTTTATACTCTGCATTAAAATGGCCCACAACAGCACACATACTTTTGATGATGGTTAGTGATTTATTAAAAAAAATAGTGAGCCTTACACCAAAGGTTTGGATATCTACAAGGAGTACAAAATGGGACAACACTTAGTCCGGTTCACATTACTTTTATTTAGTTAATATATAACCTAGTCACATGAGTACTGAAAACCACCAAAATATCATATTTGCAAGTAGTTGGTAAGAAGGATTAAGGTTTATGAGCCAGAGAACTCAAAGATTAGTTTGTTCGCGTCAAATAACATAATCCTAGGACGTATCGTTTAAGTTCAACAACAAAACGTCACTCAAGACATATTTTCGTTTTACATGAGATGATCTCAAGTTATCAAACCTTTGCGAAACATGGTTATACTTAAAACCACAATACATACCATAGAGACATTAATGATTATATGCAAAATACTGCCCACATGATAAACACCAATCAATATGAGAAGACAGAAATCAAACCTTGATTATAAGCATTCAGTCAGCTACAACGTAGGACCAGGCACATATATGCATCGGTCCAACTTTCCATACCTCATTAACACAACAAGAGAGACACCGGATTCATAAAAGTAGTTAATTCAGAGCTGGTAATATATGAAAGTCAGTCAGTCAGCTACAACGTAGGACCAGGCACATGTATGCATCGGCCCAGGTTGCCATACCTCATTAGCACAGCAAGATGAACACCGGATTCATAGGAGTGGTTAGGTCAAAGTAATATATGAAAGAAAGATTGCATATAAAGATATAGTACAGGAAGAAAGAATTAGTTCGTAGAAAGAAAGATATGGAGCGAGTTTAATCTCTCAGTTTAAGGGAAGACAAAGAGTGTATACACCTACGCCATTGTGATCGGTTTTGAGCCATGTCACACAGATTCTCCAACCACTCCTTACGACAGTCACGCGGACCCCAAACAAGTAGTCTGCATCTACCAACATGGCTAAGACCAGGAGTTAGTGACTTCAAGCACTGATGCCACGTTTTGGTTTGGCCACCCCTAACTTTCTTCCAACCATTCCCAACAATAGTCAGCATTGCGCGTCGTAGTAATCGGTGTTCAGGCATACACAACACGTGGCCCAACCATCTCAGTAGATGAAGATTCACAACCTCATCAACTGATTTACCATCATTACCTAATACCCTGCGTCTAACCTCACGATTACTTACCCGGTGATCCCAGCAGACGCCAGCAATATTTCTAAGGCATTTGTGGTCAAATACTAGTAGCTTACGAGTGTCTTCTACTCTCAATGGCCATGTTTCGCCGCCGTAAATTAAAACAGAACGGACTGCCGCGCAGTATACTCGTCCTTTTATTGATAGACGGATATCTTGCCTCCGCCAAAGCTGACGTAAGTTGGCAAAAGCCAAACGAACTTTTCGAATCCGTGCTGAGATTTCGTCAGACACCAACCCATTGGGGCTGATCAAACTTCCAAGATAAGGGAAGTTGTCAACGCGTTCGACTACTTCACTCCCTATCCTTAGTTCAGGTGTTGACGCAGACCAGTCCTGAAGCAACAACTTGCATTTAGAGGGAGAGAAGCGCATCCCAAACATTCTGGCATTGTTGCTTAGTGCTACCAGAAGACTCTGCATTTTGTCAGCGTCTTCACCAAACAGGACTATGTCATCTGCATATTCTAAGTCGATAAGTGGACCTCCTGGTAGGAGATCAATACCCGAGAACTCAGTCGACGAGAATGTTATTTCCATCAATAGGTCTATGATGAAGTTAAACAAAAATGGAGAAAGTGGACAGCCTTGATGGACACCACTTGAGGTTGCAAAAGCAGATGACAATTCGCCATAAACTCTGACTCGACTGTTAGCGTTCGAGTAAAGAGCCTTCACAAGGTTTATGTACTTCTGAGGTACGCCTTTCAATGACAGACACTGCCACAGAATCTCGCGGTCTACCGAGTCAAATGCTGCTTTTAAGTCAAGAAAGACCACCATTGTCGGACGCCGATAAATATGCCGGTGCTCTAGAACCTGACGAATGGTGAATATGTGGTCGATGCAGCCACGACCAGGTCTGAAGCCAGCTTGATTCTCTCGTGTTTGCAGTTCATGAGTCTTAGTTAGGCGTCTTATAATTATCGAGGCTAGTATTTTAGATACTATATTAGTTAAACTAATCCCTCTATGATTGTCACATGATGATTTTGACCCTCTTATATATTGCGACGATAAGTGATTGTGACCAGTCAGATAGAATAGCGTCCAACTCCCAGATCTTAGCTAAAATATTAGTCAACCTAATCGCTAAAATTGGACCACCATCCTTAAAGACTTCTGGAGCCAATCCATCTGGACCGGCTGCCCTTCCTCGTTACAGATTAACTATAGCCTTTTGAACTTCTGCTAGAGTTGTGGGACCTACTTCAATGTTCCATTCACACTGTCTGGGAATGGAGGGTAGTTCTAGAGTGGCTGAAGGCCAGTTGAACTGTTCTCTGAAATGTTCCATATGCAGTTATTCCCTTACGAAAATCGATTCAGAATAAACACGATACAAGCAGACCTGATCCACTTCCAGGACAAAATAATTGATTTTTTAATTTAGCATTACATTGAAAAATACTGCGACTTTACCTAATCTCACACCATAAAACAGACTCCGTAGAACAGACGACTATTTGAAACCAGCAAGAGTTGAGCGCCTCTTTTGTAGTATTGCAAATATGCCTCAATAGAACAAATTACAATGAACAATAGCCAACAAATAACGTTAATTTGAACAAATGTTTAAATCCGGCGATAGAGAAGCAAACAATTTGTGACGATCACAGGTTAAAGGTAAACAATAATCAATCAATATTAGAGTCTAAAGAATAAGCTGTGTGACATATGTGGAGGAATTCGAACACTACACTTCCACATGAAATTTGTGCTGATGATGTCGTTCAGAATAACAACGAAAGCTCCACGATCAACACATTAAACTCAGAGAATAAAGCTCTACCAAAACCATCCGCTAGAGTTAAAGATCTCCACCTGGCTTCAGACAAAAACATCTTTGACGTGATTTTGTACACTCAACGATAATATGGGTCTGTCCTTTGTGACAACCTTATACACCACTATTCACCTTTATTTTCGCATATTGCGATATCGTTTTTGTATTCTCTGGTATTGTTAGCCGATTTATATATGTTATCCTCAAAATAACAAGACAAACACAAATGTGTAGTGACTTACTTTCATCACGAGAACACGATTGGTTTAATAAAAACAATTATTATTATAACCAATTTTACCAGTGACTGCTTGAATGTGCTCTTTGTTTAACTGTGTTAAAACCATCCGTTATACTTACTTCAATTGTGACCCCGCGCGAATCCGGTTACGCTCGGTAACCAAGCCTGTATCCTGGCACGATCTCGGTATTCTTTCGATACCACGAGATCGCCAGCAAATATATCTCGACTTGGTTCATTAACTGCCTTCTGATATTTGGCTTCCGTGGGATTCTATGGATATCCTGGCTCACGTTCCTTTGTAATGGTTTTCATAGTCTACCGCGAATTGACGCCACACAACAAGTGTAAAAAGGTCGAGTCTCTCTCACGCTCACCTTTAAAATTGTCACCTCGGCCTGATAATACTGTGGCCTTGTTCGGCTTGCGCATGCTTACTTCCATAAGTACAGAGTGATAGACACATGTGCGCAATTGGTCGTAGTAGTTAGGGCACTGCCACGCGATTTCAAATATTACGTTACACTCTGTTTACTAGTGGAATTTTAAAATCCCATAACACTTTGAAATAGACTATGATCATTCGGGTGGACCTGACCGATAGACAAAAACTAGGCCACATCCTCCACAGTATCAAATTACGATAAGGCCTAGCAATAAAGTTGTTGCAACCTGGGTGAGAGTTTATTTCACAACGAGATTTCCATGACGGCATTTTAGACAACTCTTCTTATCTATACATACCATAATAGTAAAAACGATCCTCGTCTAATTTTGAAATAACGCTGTAAACTAATAGGCTTGATCTGCTGATCGTGCCCTGAAGATCACTAGATCTCCGAAGCCGCGGTTTGTTCTGTCACGAAAAAATGTCAAGCGACACAAAAGTACATTGAAGTTCCCTAGCATACTCGCTAAACTTTTATTGTCGTTGCAGTCGCTTCGAAACCCCCCCAGAGATGCCCGTCACGTAACTGACGTGCCACTAGACCACTGAAATCAAATAATTCTGATTGGTTTTTTTACCACAACACCTATATTAAGTGTCCAGAGACTGCAGAATACCTTGCAATTCTCCTGAACTCGGGACTCCAGTGACAATAAACCTTCCGCGAAACTTCCTTGTTGACATGCGATAAAAGCAACCGGAGATGAAGAACATAGTTGTCTGTCATACGCCACTGATGTGATGACAACAATTCACAGTCTCGTCAATACAGGTACAGACCTTAGCATTCTTCCAACAATTAATAATGACTATCCACAAGAACTTGTCTTCGATTTACAAGAATTTCACCTTCATGATTACTAGCGAGGAGTTACATGAATTTTCCCCAAAGCACTAGCTGGCAGTGGAGTGCGGAAGTATCTCGTGCTTATAACCTCCTAGTTCGAATGAGTGGAGAAGTAGATGTTAAAGTTTGTTGTCATTTCCACATCGGTAAGGTTTTAACCATCAAGCCCTTTGAGAGCAGACACCCCAATTCTGAGCTTTACTTGAGTAACAGACCTATAAAAAAACTTCGCCTTAGACTGTATTTCAACTACCAGCTTGATGTACGACCCTTCTTCTATGATTTAGCCTAAATTATCTCACTTTTTTATGTGCGATGACATCTTACCATCTTCATGTAAATGTAATTTGATCATACTTTGTCTCTTGATTTGCGAAATTACATATTTTGGTTCTCATGAGTTCAAAATTATTCATTTTGTCTACAATCTCAGAATTCGACACCGGAATTTACTCTATGTTTTCTCTCCTTTAGTTGCTGAAGAAGTGCGCGGCTTCATTTTGAGTCCCCTCGTGTCATAATCGTACATCATCTGAAAACGTAACATAGTGAACTATCTATAATTATCACAGTCGAAGAATGGAAAGGCCGTTGCAAGTAGAGACATTAGGCGATATATTGTGCGATTTGTCTGACTCGATATTAATGCAGTCATCTATGAAGCTGTAATATTAGATCTGATCCAATACTGTGGAATGCAATGATATGACCACAGAATCTATGACATCTTGTGTCTAAATTGCGTCATTTTTTTATACTGACTCGTCCCACGTGACAGTTGGTGGTTGTTTTTTGTGACCTTTCAAAAACTTGGACTGGGAAAAAATGTATTTAATATAAACCTGGTAGAATACCCTGAGTTACGACACCCGCATCATCGAGCCTTGCCACTTCAACTAAGTGTTATCGCGTTTACATTTTCCTGCTTCCTCCAAGTGTTCAACGACCGATGTGAGCTGTCTCAGTCATTGTCTGTTTGCACTCTTCGGATGTGTGCTGAGGATCTTGTAACGATAGGTGAATCCTAAATAATAAACGCTTTGCAATCATTCGACATTGATTCTGACCTTATTAGTTTTGCAACTAGAAGTCAAACAAAATCAATCTCTTTCCGACATACCGACGGCCTTCCAAATATATCTTCGAACTCACTCATCCCTGACTTTTGTTTTGAGTATGTAACGATCCTTCGATTATATAGGTGTTACAGAAAAATATATTGTCAAACCTTGTATATCTATGGAATCTTTTGAACTCCGCCTGTAGCTCTAATAGGGTTACTGCCGGTCCCAAGCCCGGGTAAAGGAGGAGGGTTGGGCATGGGGTTAGCGTCCCCATCCCGTAGAAAACTAACTCGCTAAAAAAACGCTTACCAGAAAAAATAATCCAAACCATTTAAACTCTGCCCTGGGAGTTAGAAGGTCTTCAGTTAGAAGAATTATGACGCTTCATGGTGAAAGCCGAGTTCCTTCGGAAGCCACGAGGCCGATGCCCCTTCTAACAACCAGAGCAAAAATTTTTATAGGTACATGGAACGTTCGAACAATGTGGGAAACCGGGAAGACCAGTCAAATAGCAATGGAAATGAGGAGATACAACTTAGCAGTACTGGGAATCAGCGAAACCCACTGGACCCAAGCTGGACAGAAAAGGCTAGCTACGGGAGAGATGCTGCTATACTCCGGTCACGAAAGGACAATGCTCCACACACTCAGGGAGTCGCTCTTATGCTGTCCAAAGTAGCACGAAATGCACTTGTAGGATGGGAGTCTCACGGATCCAGAATCATCAAAGCATCATTCAAAACAAAGAAGGAGGGGATCTTAATGAATATTATCCAATGTTATGCACCCACCAATGATAGCAACGACGACATTAAAGATCAGTTCTACGAGCGGCTGCAGTCAATCATTGAGAAATGCCAAGAAAGGACCTAACTATTCTGATGGGAGATCTAAATGCCAAAGTCGGAATAGACAACACTGGATATGAAGATATTATGGGACGACATGGACTGGGAGAGAAACGAAAATGGAGAAAGATTTGCAAATTTGTGTGCATTCAACAAATTGGTCATAGGAGGCACAATATTTCCACACAAGCGTATACACAAGGCTACATGGATCTCACCGGACCACACTACAGAGAACCAAATAGATCATATTTGCATCAACAAAAAATTCCGAAGGACAATGGAAGATGTGAGAACCAGGAGAGGTGCTGACGTAGCTTCAGATCACCACCTAGTTGTAGCCAATTTAAAACTGAAGCTAAAAAGAACTGGACAAGTGGACAAACAGCACTACAAAGGTTCAATACAGCCTTCCTTCGAGATACTGACAAACTCAATGAATTCAAGATAGCTCTCAACAACAGGTTCCAAGCCTTACAAGATCTACTGAAAGAAGAAGAAACTACTATGGAGGACAACTGGAAAGGCATCAAGGAAGCATTAACTTCAACGTGTCAAGAGGTTCTGGGCCTAAAGAAACACCATCATAAGGAATGGATCTCTATAGAAACACTGGACAAGATCAAAGAAAGGAAGAACAAGAAGGCAGCAATTAACAACAGCCGAACACGAGCAGAGAAAGTCCAAGCACAAGCTGAATACATAGAAGCAAACAAACAAGTGAAGAGGAGCATTAGAGCCGACAAGAAGAAATACGTGGAAGAACTAGCAACGACGGCAGAAAAAGCTGCTAGAGAAGGAAATATGAAACAGCTTCACGATACAACGAAGAAACTAGCAGGGAAATACAGTAAACCAGAGAGGCCGGTCAAAGACAAAGAAGGCAAGCCAATCACCGAAATTCAACAACAGCGTAACAGATGGGTGGAATACTTCGAGGAACTCCTGAATAGGCCGGCTCCAATGAATCCACCGGACATCGAAGCAGCACACATAGATCTTCCTATAGATGTCAACCCACCAACGACGGAAGAAATTAGAATGGCCGTCAGACAAATCAAGAACGGGAAAGCAGCAGGACCCGACAACATACCAGCTGAAGCACTGAAATCAGACATCGAAGCAACCACAAGCATGCTTACCTTCTATTCAAAAAGATTTGGGAGGAGGAACAAGTGCCGATGGACTGGAAAGAAGGACACCTCGTCAAGATTCCAAAGAAAGGAGATCTGAGCAAATGTGAAAACTACAGAGGCATTACACTACTGTCAATACCAGGGAAAGTCTTCAACAGAGTGTTGCTGAACCGGATGAAGGATGCAGTAGACGCCCAACTTCGAGATCAACAAGCTGGATTCCGTAAGGATCGGTCGTGCACAGACCAAATTGCAACACTACGGATCATCGTCGAACAATCAGTTGAGTGGAACTCATCACTATACATCAACTTCATTGATTATGAAAAGGCATTCGACAGTGTAGATAGGAGGACATTATGGAAACTTCTTCGACACTACGGAGTTCCTGAGAAGATTGTCAACATTATCCGGAACTCATACGACGGACTACAGTGCAAAGTAGTGCATGGAGGACAGCTGACAGATGCATTCCAAGTAAGGACTGGAGTCAGACAAGGCTGTTTACTCTCTCCCTTCCTCTTTCTTCTGGTGGTCGACTGGATTATGAAGACCTCGACATCTGAAGGAAAACACGGAATACAATGGACAGCTCAGAATCAATTAGACGATTTGGACTTCGCAGACGACCTAGCCCTCCTATCACGTACACACGAACAGATGCAGATGAAGACAGCCAGTGTAGCAGCAGTCTCTGCATCAGTAGGCCTCAGCATACACAAAGGGAAAACCAAGGTCCTCAAATTCAAAGCGGAGAACAGCAATCCAATCACTCTTGATGGCGAAACTCTGGAAGATGTAGAGTCCTTCACATACCTAGGAAGCATCATCGATGAACAAGGAGGTTCAGATGCAGACGTAAAGGCGAGGATCGGCAAAGCAAGGGTCGCATTCCTACAATTGAAGAACATATGGAACTCAAAACAACTTTCAACCAATATCAAAGTGAGAATCTTCAATACGAACGTCAAGGCAGTTCTACTGTATGGAGCTGAAACTTGGAGAACTACAACAACCACCATCAAGAAAGTACAAGTATTTATAAATAGTCGTCTACGCAAGATACTCAACATCCGTTGGCCGGATACCATCAGCAATAGCCTTCTGTGGGAGAGAACAAACCAACTTCCAGCTGAAGAAGAAATTAGGAAAAGACGATGGAAATGGATAGGACATACATTACGCAAATCGTCAAACTGCATCACGAGGCAAGCCCTAACTTGGAATCCTGAAGGGAAGCGAAAAAGAGGAAGGCCAAAGAACACATTGCGTCGGATTATAGAAGCAGATATGAAAAGGATGAATTACAACTGGACGGAGCTAGAAAGGATTGCCCAGGACAGGGTTGGATGGAGAATGCTGGTGAGTGGCCTATGCTCCTTCACGAGGAGTAACAGGCGTAAGTAAGTAAGTTTGGGGTTTTGAATATCTTTCTGATGTTTCCGTGAAGGCCGGTTTTTGTTTCATAGGTAAATCGTCTAGTTCTTTACACTCATTTTCTGTATGTTCTAGGGTAATTCGACCAAGTCGCGGAAGTCGATATGACATATTGAGTACAAAATCTCCCAAGTACCGTTGACATCATGGCTATTTAACACTTAATTTACATTAATGTTATCGAAAAATTCAACATCTCAATCGTCTTATCCTAGCGAAAGTCGAAAACCTTCAGAATCACGCCTACAGTTATCCTCTCTATTACTCCTAAGGTATGTAATAATAACAATGATATATTTCTACTTTTCAAAAAATAGCTTGTTGATTTTGTGCATTTGTTTATTTTCAAAAATTATTATAACTGAGAAGAAAAATCGAACTTTTCCAGTAACCTCGTTGTAATACTGTTATTGTCTTAGGACCCTCCTCCACAAGTTATGACTTACTAAGACCCCTGAATCACTTTTAGTTCGATCAAAACAAGGACAAATCTATGTTATTTGTATTACCGTCATCTGCATGTTAGGTGGGCTCGGAGACACTTGACGAAAGAAAATGATCATTTCGTGAACTAGCTCCACATGACCTCGAAGCTTACTAAGAGTACATGTGTATCCACATCCCAGGATTCAAACAAAGAATACAATTGTGACTATACGTGTAAAGTGATTCCAAGAAAATTCAACGTGAATCGTGGCCCTACAGTGACAGGACAAAAATCCTTGCAGTTCAGATTGTTTCGTTCCGTTTTTACAAAGTCACTTTACTTTCAACATTGAATCTTGTTTTATTCGATGAAGAAGACTATGATCGACGCAGATTTGGGACTGTGGACATATCCTTTCAACAAGTTACGTCTAGTACTAAAAGCAATAGTCAACTTTCTCTATGGACCATTGTTTTATCTCATAGACTTTATGAATGCTGAAACACAATGTTATTGTCATAAGTAGCTGAAGGTTAGCTACACTCTAAACCATGTACGAAGCCTTGTCTTGATTAATCGTCGATAGACGTTCACAGTGTTTTTAAAACAACCATCATTTAAGAGAGCTTTGAGGTCTTAAAATCCTATATTACTTTATTTGCACACATATTCCTTAGACTAATATTAGCTCATTGAGCCGTATCTGTAGCCCAACTAATAGCTTTCCAATAAACATGTTCTGTCTCTGACTTAGCGTGCAACCAACTTAAGCTTTTTCCCGGAAACATGTCCAGAAAAAATGGGAGGCTTTCGTATGAGGTTAGAGATTACATCACTTAAGAACGAGTCAAACTAATTAACCCATTTAAACTGTTTATCTCTGCCATGATATAAGCAGGGCATTGATATTGAAGAGTTCCAATGGACAGTGACGAAAATCAATATTTTTTGTAAACCACGAGGCCGACGCCCTGTCTGACAACCAAGGTAATAGTTTATGTAGGTTCACAGAAAGTTCAGACAATGTGAATCAATGGGATGACAAAAGGAGATATAACCCTTCCCTGCTTGGGATAGGTGAAAATGATCAAGTACAAACTACACAAAGACACGTCCAAGACAGAGTTAATTAGAGATTCCTGGTCAGCAACCTATGATATAAGAGGAGTAACAGGATTGAGTAATAAGTAGGTTATACAGACTGTTGGACCACAAATGTGGCTCTGTCAACTGCTTTCCAATCGACGCAGTCCGGAAACTAACTGGCTACATGATAACTGAGGTGTTTCCTTGGTACGCATACATCTACCTCGTTGCTGGATTCCGGTTCAAGCTGACCTGTATAGCAACCAGACGCAAGAGAACTATTCGGAACAGCTTTCTAAAACAGTAATGGTTCTTGACAACTTCCCATTGCTCGATTTGTCTTAAGGCATGTTATTTACCAGTCGGTTAGCCATAGTTACCAAGAGACTAGTCTCGAACGAGCAAGCTGTCATGTGTCGAGGATAAGCTGATAATATTATTTAAGGAGCTCTTTCCATATTGTGAGACGTATCAAACTGGATTCAGTGCTGTTTTCAAGCTTGATTTTGAGCATGACAACACGGCCCTGTCTATGCCAATAAATGCGGCCAGTTTGAAACAGAATTTCGACTAGAAAATATTAAAATCACTAACGAAGACAACGCAAAAACCAGAAATGTCTTAAAAGCTTAGTACTCAAAGATGAGTAAGACAGGTTTAAGAACAGCCATAGTGTGTATAATCCAGTAAAAAGTGAAGAGGGTCAAAATAAATGTGAAGACAATGACAGCACAACTACTGGAGACAACTAATCTAATCCGATGTTAATAGAATAAAGTATTGATAGTCAACGAGGATTTCCTAAAAGTCACCTATTTTTGTGAAGCTTGTGCTGGTGAATTTTCTTGATAGACACGATTAAATCATCAAATCTAGACAAAACAATTTACTCTAGATATGGTGTCTCCTGATTTTCTTCTATTCAAATCGTGTACCTCCCGACCAGAAGTCGCCACCTTGAATTACAGACTAAATAAACAACGAACTTCACAATACCTACACACCAGCTTGTGCCCCAAAATATTGAGGAATGTACCAATCACACAACAAATTAGTTTATTCGGTGCGATTTCTAGTATGCCGCTTACCGACGCCAGAATTGTGGTATTTATTAGGTAGTAACAAATTATATCTGTGTATCAGTAGTTTGGGATTTTAAAGT